AATGCCAGGTCCTTTGCAGTAGACATCTGGCAGCCCCATCCTTTCTGAAACAGGCTGGTAATATTTTACTTAGTTTAACCTCTCCTGAATTTTATCTCAACAGCAGTAGTTGAAGGATATCCTGCCTGACCCAGGATGTCTATACTAGCACCACTTCCTGCAGTAGGGTTAACCAGGGAGTTAGAACATGTCATGGCTCAGCTGGCATGCCCAATCTCAAGGGAACACTGGGGACAGGAAATAAGCTAAGGCTCAGCTAGAACAAATGACCTAATGAAGGATTAATTCTGTGGTGGAGAGTCAGCAGCTCAAATTACAGTCGCCAGGAGGAGTGTGAAGAAGTGAGATTTGATCCTGCTAACAATGGCACACAAGGAGATTTTATTTGTCAAGTGGAACTTGGCAGCACAAGTCCCCAGGCAGAAATGATACATTGTCAGGAGGGTGGCTGTGCCTTGGGTCCAGGGGTTTGTCCACTTCAGGGTTGCATCAGAGCCCGAGAAGAGAAAGAATAGAGTCTTGCTCCTGGAGAGAAGTTCCTGGCAAGGGTGAGGCTAACTGTCAAGGTCACAGCTAAGTCTTTCCAGGCAGGACTTTAATCTAGTATTAAAAATGCAAATTGAAAACATGAGAGAAGCCTAGTCTTATAAAATGGCAAATATGACAAGAGGTAGAGAAACTGAGGCTAGCTGGGCATGGAAATTGCTAGAGTTCACTAGGGTTAGGGCAGGTAAACCCATCTCAGACTCCGTTCTTCTGTGGAGTGCACTGGTTGACAAATCAGTAAGTCCAGCCCTCGGGTCTCTGCATGGGCTGGTGAAGGCAAGAGCTCAAAGCCCACAATGCATTGCCAACTACTGTTTGTCTAATCATATTTAGTCATTTTTTTTCCAGTGTTTCTCCTCAAAGTGTTCATATTCTAGCTGGTTTCAGGATGAGCTGGCAGAATTGGTGAGAAGAAGATGGCAGCAGCTCAAATATTCCCTCTGTTGGCTTGCTGTCATCACCATTGGATCCCGGGTCAGTGTCAATGTGGCGAGCTGCAGCCTTAGCAGAGGAAGTCTGAGAAGGTGCACGCCAGCCAGAGGACTTGGCCTCCAGGAGCATATGGGCAGGAAGTTCCAACAGGTGGGAGAACAGAATCGCCAGCCTCAAGGGGAGAGCCTGCCAGGGGCTGGGGCATCTACAAGCTGCCAAATCTTCTGGACAAAAAGGAACACACAGCAGCCAATTACTGAGCCACAGGGACACCTACATGCTGCTCTCCGTGCTCTGTGTCAAGGAATATTAAGGTGGGTGTGGGTTCAAATCGTGCACTGCATTTTAGAGTGCTTTACAGATTGTTCACAAAGCGCTTTCACAGGCATCATGCCTCTCGACATTCAAAACCACTCTACACTGCGGACAGGGCAACTGCCATCATCTCCATTTGTACGCTGGGAAAGAAATGCTCAAGGAAGGAATACAGATGGTGATTCAACATTTTCAATAACTTCCTTAGAACAAAAGGGTGTTGATTTCTTTGTGTGACGACAATGCTAATGCAGATCTATACTGCCCAGGATACACAATCTTCAGGGAATGGAGAAGTCCAGATGCTGGGTTTACAACTGACTAGGCACTTTTTGCCCCTGCCCAGCCTTTCTGAGGAGTGCTGCTGGAGGGAGAAGTGACTGTGATTTAGGATGCAAGGTGTGTACTTTGAATTAGATTTGAACAAAAACCATTTCCTTAATGGAGAACATAGAGTTTGTCAGATATAAGAAATTAACTTTCAATTTGACTGGCTTTGCCTCCTGTCAAATTCATTAGATGATCTCTTCACATTTTTCCCCTAAAATCAACACTTTCCACTGAGGTTGAAATTCTATCCCAAAGTTCTGTGAAGACTAATCACCAGGATGAGGAGTCCACTGGACTAAATGAGACCGACGGGTGAAAAATTTTGCGAACTTTCTCGGCCATCACATCCAGGGATGCGCTGCAATCAAGGATTAAGCATAAGGCACATTTCATTATGCTGAGTAACTTTTAAAAAATAACCTTGGTGGAGGCATTTGATTAATTTTTAATTGGAGCTGTATATGCCTGTTTGATATTCTTCTGTAAGAAAAATGTATTTTAAATTCACAAACATATTGTATACAATAAAACATTTCCAGTTACTCACTGATACTTCAAAACCACAATGCGAGGATAATACTATTAGTCATAATCTATTATGATATAAAATTAGGTTCCATAAGTGAAGGACAGATGCATCTGTCTGCATACCGATCAGAGCCTCCATCTTGCTATGATTCACAGTTCATTCATCTATCTGAAGTGCCACTACACCACAGCTGTTCCCAATATAAACTTCCCTGCGTTGCAAACAAGACCCAGTTTCTTAATAGTTACACTGACAACGTCCAGGCCATTTAGGAGTAAGCAACTAATTCTGCCAATGTTAACAAGTTTATTAGGCAAGAACAATATGTTGGCTCGGGAAATGATAGAGGAAATTTTAGGTAAAGATCTGAAAACATTTATTACTTTATAATTTGCAAATACACAAGGCAACTTTGCTTTTAATCATAGCGTATAATTTTCTGTCTATTCAATTTACTGGTGTGGATCCAAGATAGTTTAGTTCTGTGAATTTCACATTTTTTTCCAGGCTCATTTTTCAACAGGTTGCCTGCAATTAACAGCTAAAGTGTCACTAAAAGAAATTTATATTTTCACACACTGTAGTTTAAAATCATGTACAGATTTTCTTCTTGTAAGAAAATAAATCATTTGCCTTTTAAGGAAAAGAAAATGAGAAGGTATACCCTAAAAAACTTTTACGTATGCCTAAATAATCTTCAGAAATAAATACTTTTGAAGTGATATTTTACTTTTTTCCCAGGAAGAAAAATAAGATAATGTATATCCATACATTTCTCTAAACTTTAAAGGAAAGTTTCCTTAATAAGTTTAAACTAAGTTGGGTGCAGAACTGCTCTTATTGTTATAACACTCAATCTTTCTCTAAATCCTGACCAATTCCACACATGCTTTCCCTTTTCCCAAATTACACTTTTCTTTTGCAATATTTTTCATGCAAAAGATATACACTGTCAAAGATTTTTTCAAAATCTACTTAGCTCATTTTTTTAAACTAAGTCCATTTGAATAAATACTTGCTGTTATTTAAAAAAAGGTATTTCGACACTGCTATTTCCATGTTAAATTCAATCTCATAGCACCCCTCCAGCCTACAGAAACAGACTAAATCCGACCTGCAATGTAATTAATTTTAAATTAGTAATTTAAGCTAAAGTTATATTTCCATATGGAAACCCATTTCAAAAAGAACATGCTTTCTAACTCAACAATAGCTCATTATATATTAAGCTAACTGAAACAAAGTATGTAATCAAAGTCTAAAGATAAGTTATTCAATGAAAGGAGCGGACGATCTCCCACATTTCCGCACATATTGAATACATACTGGAGAGGCAGGCATGTTCCATGTATGCTTTGCACTACCAGCTCCTATAAGAAGAGGATGCACCCAATGCCACATCTACCCCACCACATGTGGAGCAGAAAGACCTCAGTGTTTCTTATTGATATGCTACCGCCACAATCCTGTCTACCTGCATGTATTTGTTCTAGGTTTGCTCTCCCCTTTCTGAAGTGTATATTCCTAGGCAGGGTCTCCCTCTTTAAGTAAATACAGGGGCATTGTTTTAAACCTAGGAAATAGTGATGAATGTTTCATGCAATATAATCATCTTACAATATAAAATTTGGGACTACATAATCAACAAATACACTCTTTAAACAAGATTATTTTTCAAATAGTAAGCTGAAAGACCCAAAATGGGGGCTTAGGCTATCTGTTTTGTTGGAACTCAGAGGCCAAGAGAGACATAAAAGGTCTGTGCAAAACATACAGTGAAATAACCAGTGTCCTTAACAACATAAACGCTCTGATAAATACATTTACCTCCTAAGGAGAGCCATACTTTGACATTGCAAGTACGGACAGCGGGAGGAAAATATGTTCTTAGAGCCATTGGACAGGTTCAAATAACACTTGCAGACAAAAGAATGTTTGCATTCTTGAAATCTGTCCATATGGATGCAATTCTCAAACCTTTGCTTCCTCTACCACTTCCAACCTGCGTGCTGGGAGAGTCACACATACGCACACGCACGCATAACAGGATCGCAATTCCAACATGCACAGCGCTAATCAGACAAGTGAATTTTGCTGCTCGAGTCAACTGTCCCTCTGCCCCCGGCGTTTAAAAACACGCAGACATTAGCCCAGCTGGAAGGAGGCTGTGCTGGGGGAGGGCTCCAAATAGGAGATCCAGATCCGGCGCAGTCCAGCGTTGCCGCTCCAAGAGTGTTGACTCTCCCTGGGTCAGTTAAGACGCGCACCCACCCGGGCTACGTACCTTCGCTACCCTTGCCCAGATGTTACACGAAGTGCAAATTTTGTCTTTTCGCCCCTGAAATGCAATCAGAACAGGCGACCCCAGGGCGAGCTTGGCGGGTGTCTGCTTTAGCCTCCTTAAAAGCGTTAGGAAATCAAATGGGGGAACCTGCACGCGCAGAAACACACCAAGCCGAGCAGGTCCTCTAGTCCGGACACTTCGTGCCTCGGATCCTGCCTTGGGGGAGAGCCGGGTGGGGCGTCCCAGGCTGTCTCCTGGCCACCATTCCTATTATTCCCATCTCTTTCCCGGCTCTTGGTGTCACCTCGGCATTCCCCACCCTCAGTCCCAGAGCTCTAACTCGGCGCCAGATCGCGCTCTCGCCAGGTTCAAGTCCCCCAGCAAATAGACAGACCAGCTCTTTCCTCCTTCCCCAGTACCATCTTTAAACTCCCCAAAGCAAAGACATTTCTTATCCGCGCTGAAAACTTTTTCCTCCTTTTGCAACGCGATAAGGCGAGAAACCAGGTCAGCCGCTCTGCCACGCGCTTTGCCCAGCGCCCCGGTGGCGGGCGCAGTCCTTACCTGGCCGCTGCGCTCCAGGTGGCAGTCCCACGCTGGTCGTCTGAGCCTCCCCGATGCGCGGGGCGCGCCCGGTCCACCGTCCCTTCGTCGCCTCCTGCTCGGCGATCAGGGAGCGAGAGTGCTAAGACTGCGCGCCGGTGCCCGGAGCCGCGCTTCGGTTCATCGCTCGTCTTCCCAAAAGCGCTGCTGCCGCCCAGGCGAACTGACGAGGAGCGTGGGGATCCGGGATGGCACCGGTTTGCCCCACGGTGTGCGCTCCCGGGTCCGAGAGCGCTCCGCCCGCGGGCAGCTGCGACCGCGCGTCACATGCCGCCTCCGGGCAGTGGCCGCGGCACCTGCCCAAACGGCAGCGCTCGGGCCCCGCACTGCCGCCCCCGCGCCTGCGGCTCCCTGCACGCTCTGGCCCTTTCTGTTCACGTCCTTTTTTCTCTGTCTCCCCTGTCACTTTTTTTCCTCCTTCGTCTTTCCGTCTCCTCCTTTTATCTTGTATTCTTTTTTTCCAAAAGCAGACACAAGGCGCTCCGAGTGGGAGGAGGGTCTTTTCCTCCTCCACGAACTCTTCCTCTGCCTGGTGGTGGCGGTCGTGGCCACTGCTCGCCGCTCCTCCTCCCCTTCCTCCTCCGCTCCTCCTCCTCCTCCGCGGGCTGCGAGCACTGGTGTAATGCACAAGCTGCCTAGTTGAGCCCCAAACCTGCCTGGCTGCTGAGCATGCCCAGTTGCCCTGCTGGCGCTTCGCTCAATTCCCTCGTGCTGACTCTGCTTGGCGTTCTGTGCCTGGCAGGGGGTGAGGGAACCGAGCTGTGGGAGACCCCTGCGTGCCCCCTGGGTGGGCTCGCTGAAGGCAGGAGACTCACCCTCTTATCCCGGCCACACGTGTCCCTAAATTGTGGCCCCGTGCTTCAAGGACAAATTTTGTTGATTAGTTGTGTTCTCTTCTAAATCAGTTTGCTTGGGCTGCTTAGGAGAATTGGAAGGAAATAGATTCCTGGGCACAACTTATTGGTGAAAGAACCCCAGCTGAGTTAAAATACATGACTCCTCTGAAAACCTTTCCCTAGAGAGCAGCCTGATGCCTTTATCTTTTGACATTTAGGGAGAGTCTCTTCATGCAGAACTGTAGTAGAGAGAGGACATCTTGGCTTTTCCTCCTTGAAGTTCACCCCTTAGGAGTAAATGGGAAGAACATACGTGAAAAAGGCTCAGGCGCGCGCGCGCACACACACACACGCACACACATTTTTTTGAATCAGAAAATAAAAGATATGAGCTTGCTTGCTAGATTTTTAAATTTCATATCTAATTCAGAGAAGTGAGAAGCTAAAAAAGAGACAGAACGAAGGAAGGAAAGAAAGAAGGGAGGAAGGAAAGAAACAATGAAAGAAAGAAAGAGAGAGAGCAGGAGGGAGAGAGGGAGAGAGAGAGAGAAAGAAAGAAGGAAAGAAAAAGAAAAAGCAAGCAAGCAGCAAGGAATGGAGGGAAGGATACATTTCTTACCATACTCCTTCAGCTAACTAAAGAAGGAAAAAGTAGGAAGATGCCAAAGTTGCAAAGATCCCACTGAGGCCGCTCCTCAGCACTCTAAAGGTTTTTAAAAACTCAAGTAAGGATTATAGGAGAATCCCACAAGGAAGGACAAAGACAATAGTGGTAACACTGAAAAAAAGAAAGCACAAAAAAGCAGAGGATGAAATGAAATTTTCAACAATATTAAAACAGGTAAAATGATTTTGTTAATTCTATTTGGAGCAAGAAAATAAACAGGAAAATGTAGCTCTTCTTTGAGAAAATAAGTAATGTTAAAAGAAGAGAGAAATGTAAGTATATAAATTCCTTTCTGAGTCTACATATTTTCTTCTAGATAGAACACTCTTTAGGAGAGAACAGACTAAACATTGCTTAGAGAGAGTTAAGGTCATAATTGGAAAAAAGCTAGTGAGAAAGCATGTGGCTATTTAAATTCAAATATCCAAGCTTAGGTGAATTACACGCAGAATACTGGAATGGTAATAATAATATTAATACAGTAGCCATCTTGTTTGGATGCTCTCAGATAGAAATATAATAGTTGCCTTCAGATATTTCCCTAATCTTCAAAAGAAATATTCAGACAGGTATTTTATCCCCATTTAATAAAGAAGGACAAAAATTTAAAGGACTAATTGCCCATTACATAGCTAGTAAGCAGATTTTGAATTCAAATTTAACATATCTTTCCTATTGTATAAAATTGCTATTTGCCTGTGGGAACAGGGGTATCTTTCATCATATTTGGTAAATCCATAAACAACAGACAAGGGGCCCGAAGAATGGGCATACAGAAATTTTCTAGCTTTTTTTTAAAAAAAGGTAGGTTCTGTTATCTATACAGTGATTAAGTTTGAGATGGATCCCTGGAAATATTCTAGAGAAGATCATGAAATGAGTAATTTGTCAGTAGTCAGGAAAAAAAGAAACAACTATAATTTAGTATAAGTATCTCACCAGGCTAACTTCATTTCTCTTTGTAAGTAGCCATTAAACACATATATATGGCGTTTCCTGATTCCAGCCAATCTTCCCATTATCTTTATGGACAAGGTAAATATATTTTGTATGTTAATATTGAACAAATTAAAAACTAACGATTTGTGCAGAATTTTCCCAAGTGTCTTGTAAGTTGATTCATGCTGAATTAGAGTAAGGTGTTTGATTCTGAGCTTGGTGCCCTATTGTTCAGCAGATTTATCAAATTATATTGAACAGGAAAATATAATAGGAATACTTATTAGGTTTGAGAATGAGCCAAAGTAGGGGCAGGGCTAATTTATAAGATGCCAAAGTCAGAATCCAAAGAGACCTTACTTGGATATTGATCTAAAACAAAGGAGATAAACTAGAGATAAAATACATTTTGAAATCCTGCATGTTAGTTTTTTTTTTTAAGTAAGCACAGAATTTATTCACTTATTCCATTATTAAATGAGACTTTGGTAATGGACAGGACAGCTAATAGCATACTTACTCTTTTATGATAAAATAAATACAAAACCTGGAGAAAATATATAGAACTACATTTTCAGTTACCAAGAGTAATCAACACGGGGCTGCAATATTTGAGTAAGAGGAGGCAGATGAGGAGCCCATTCCTACAGATTTTTTTCCTAGGGGCTATTTTTCCAGCAGGAGGCCTGGGGGTTCCAGGTCAAGATGGCCAGATGTGGAAACACTGACCTCTGCTACCATATGTGGAAAAATTTCCTCTGAAAAAAACCCTAAAAACTGATGGAGGAACCCCTTCACATTGGGCAAAGAAGAAAGGAAAGGCTGAGACACAACCTTCATCATAAACCCCACCACCAGCACTGCGTCGCACCATCCGGAGGGAACTTCCACTGCAGAGCTTCTCACTTCGGGATTTGTACCCCACATTGGGCACCCCAACTTTAAGAGTAGCACCTGAGAGAAGAGACCCCACATCATCTGGCTTTGAAGACCAATGGGGGCCTTGCACCCACAATAACCACTAGGCTGTGGCAATCTGAGAAATGACTCTTAAAAGACCTGTGCAGGCTTCCCCATTCCCCATGTCCAGTGAGGAAGCAGCCCTTTGAAAAGTGCCCAGACTTTATGTCAAAGAGACTCATTTCTTAATTTTACAGCATTGGTCTATGCGGCAGGGGCCTGCCAGGATACTCTTTGGGGAGGAGGCTCCTGGGCACCATCTTCCTGCTCTCCCTCTGCTTTGCTAAAGCTGGCAGGTGACATTTAATTTTTTCCTTTTCTTCAGGTGCCATGTTTATGTTCCAGCTGCAGGCACCCTCTTCCGGGTCATCCCTCTTCCTTGCCCAGTGGGCGCCATCTTTTTTTTCTTTTTCTTTCCCCTTTGTTTTCTTTTTTCTTTCCTTTTTTTCCTTTTGTTTCTTTTTCCTTTTTTTGGCAGGTACCATCTTCGCATTCTTCCTCTGCCCCACTTCAGCAAGTGGGTGACTTATTTGCTCTCTCCCTCGGCCTCTCCCTCTGGTGCTCCAGAGTGCCAGTATCTCCCAGAGGGGAGCTTCGACACGCCTCTGGTGCCTTGGTTTTTCATTAGGTGACCTGCTTTTTGCATCTGCCACTGAGGGTATGCCCCTTGATGGCCTGGCTCTGGAGACCAAGAGAGCTTGCATTACTGGGTTCTGTGGGACCATAACAATCAGAGAGACAGTTCTTGGCAAACCACCACTCCCAGGGCTCTGCACAGACAGCAGATGGAAACACACTCTAGTCTTTCTGCGAAAGAAGCCTATTTGCTTATCCAGGGGCTTTGGCCTGAAGAGCAGGCTTCTGGTCTGACGTGCTTACAGGGGCCTCTGAAGCTGCTCTCAGGGAAAGGAGGCTGTTGGCTATAGTCTGCGTTCTCCCTCTGCCTCGCTCCAGCTTGCTGGTATCTGACAGAAAGGAGTCTATGCCCTTCTCTGGTGCCCTGATTTTTGCAGCTGCTGCCAGAGGACACCCACATCGCCTAGCTCTGGTGGCCAGCAGGGCTTACACTCATGGGTCCCCTAGGGCTGTAACCGATGGAGAAAGAGGTCTTAAACAGCAACTACACCCAGGATGCAGCAAGAAGCAACAGACCCAGGAGCTCAATCTTTCCTTGAAAGAAGCCTATTAGCTTATCACCACAGCCACAGCCTGAGGGGCAGGCTTCTAATTAATCACACATGGAAGGGAAGACTCTAAACTTTCCTGAGACCTCAGAGGGCAGGTGCTATCTTCATGCTCTTTCTCTGCTGCACTCCGAAGTATAAGCATCTCTCAGAGGGGACATCTTATAGTGTCTGATTACTCCAGTTTTTACATCTGGGTTTTGCTGCTGCCACTCAGGGAGTACCCCAATCACCTGGCTCTGATGGCCAGTGGGGCTTGTGTTCCCGCATTCCATGGGACTGTAACAATTGTGGAGACAGTTCTTGGCAGGCTGCCACCCCCAGGGCAATGCACAGGTAGCAGGCTGAAACACACCCGTAGCCTTTCCCTGAAAAGGCCTATTTGCTAGTCCCAGAGCTTCAGCTTGAGGGGCAGGCTACGGAGGTATGCTCAGGGGATGTAGGCCAGGGGATGCCATCTTTGCACTC